AGCCAGAACATATTCAAACGTGGTACGAAATAGTCGCAAAATCGGCCCCCGACTAATTTTTTTGACTATTTCTGAATGTTCCTCCTGTAGGGGGACGTGCCCGCCTTGGACCTGGACTTCCGGCTGGCTCCAAGTCCTGGGCGGTGCTCTCCCGTCTGCACGAGCTGCGGCCGCCTCCTCTGCGGACTCCAGTCCCGCCCGAGTATCCCAGGAGGGAGACGAGGAGACCAGCTCAACATCAGGTCGGGCATGTCCCCCCTACGGGCGGATTTTGGGCGAGTGGTGAGAAATGTGCAGAAGTGCCGCAGAAGAATCGACAAATGCTAGCAACATCGCCCCCCGACGGTTTTCTTTTGACTATTCTTGAAGCTTCCTCCAGTTGGGGGACATGCCCGACTTCAGCTCAACAGCGGCGGAGACCAACGTCTCAGCTGAAGGGCCCAGCACCGAGCGCTCGAGGTCTTCCAGCGGAGAGGTCCGCTCTGCAATGAGGGCGGGGCTGTATGGGGAGGTCAGCTGGAGGTGGGGAGTGGTTCGTTGGCAGCAGGCCCCTCTACAGGAATCGCAGAGCTGGGCGGCCCCGCATGCGTCTTTCCTTCCCGGGGCACGTGACCTGACGCATTGCGACAGGGGATCTCTCCCCTTACTTGGTTGCGACGAGTGTCTGTTGGCAGTGGCTCTTCCCTTTTCTCCTCAGATTTGGTAATCTGGCGACAGCGTCTCTTCACTTCGATGCCTAACAGCGAGAAGGGGACGGCACGAGTGGCTCATCTCATAGAGTGTGGCAGGTACTCTTACACTGCAAGGCCGCCGAACTGTTGCAACCTTTTTTGAATCTCATGCCTCCCCCAGGATGTCTCTGGGAGATTACAGCGCCCCCCTAGGCATGGCCTCTGCGCGGTCCCGCCTCCTCAGGCGCCCGTGCGCCATGCTTCTGCATCATAAGATTTGGTCTTCGGTATGGGGGTTTGGTAGGGGATGGGGGATGCTTTGGACTCGGGGGGGAGACTTACGACAACAAGACTCCCTGCAAGAAGCGCAGAGCCCAGCGGTTCCGCATGCGCCTCTCTTGCCCGAGGCGCCTGTCCAGTTGCACTGCGACAGGAGCTCTCTATCCCTGCTTGTTTGCGTTTGTTGGCACGATTCCCCCTGCCCCCAATCACGGCTCCTCCATCGCTTGGGTACAAAGTTTCGCGTTTACAGCTCGCCGTTGCGATGCCTATAACAATGAGGCTGGGACGGCTCGTTCGGCGCAGTGGAACATGCGCTGCAGCACTTCTTCGCTCTCGGCACGATCGCCCCCTCCTACGTTTTGCTATCCTTTCTTCCCCTCTTCTCCTCCCATAGGTGCTCGCAGGATACGCAATCTCACACCTCTCCCAGGAGGCCTCTGGGAGATGGCAGCGTCCCTCCAGGCATGGCTTCTGCATGGTCCCGTCTCCCCAGGCGCCCATGCGCCATGACTTCTGGTGCAGGCAGGCAGGCTCAAGCAGCCAGTGCTCCGCCGCCGTAGTAGCCTTTGAGAGTCACATCCGTGCCCAACCAGGAGATTGGGATGGCAGGCTGGTGCTCATTCTGAAGCGATCGGGCTTCCATGCGGTGCCTTCGATAGTCCATTTCCTCTCCCCTCTCCCTCTTGGTGATCTATCTCGATCTGGTCACCCCCTGCCTTATCCTCTCCTTCGCGGCCGGGGCTGCACTGGACTGGCTGGCCTTCGGGCCCGTTCTTGACATGTTTTCGCTGCCTGCCACAGGGCAGAACGATGCCCGGTGCGGCCGTGCCAACGGGCCGCTAGGAATCATGTTGCCTACACTGCTTTTGAGCGCCTCTCCCCTGCTCTTATAAGCTGATTGGCCCTCTTTGGCCAGCACGGCCTTCCATTCCTCTCCCTGTCCTCGGCATGAGGGATGCACTCTCCTTCCCTCCCCTTCCCTCAGCTGGAGCCCCCGGGTCTGGTCAGCCAATATGGCCCCAGCACCGGTGGGCGACCAAGCGGTGGCCTAGACATCGGCAGCGTCTCAATATGGCATTCTCGTCGTTTTCTTTGCGCACTGACGGCGTACAATTGGTGTAACGCCAGGCTGAGTCCCCCAAATCCCTCCTCCCTCAAACCTTCCTTCTCCTTCTTCCCTTTTCCCTGTCTCTGCCCTCCTCCTTGATCCCTCCATCCCTCCCTTCCTTCCCTCTTCTGAGAAGGTGACGACGATAAAGCCGACGTCGTCATTATCACCGTCGTCTTCGCCGTCGCCGTCGCCGTCGCGGTCGCCGTCACCGTCGCCGTCGCCATCGCCGTCGCCACCGCCGTCGTCGTCGTCGCCGCCGCCGCCGTCGTCATCGTCATCGTCGTCATCGTCGCCGCTTCCACCGTCGTCGTCGTCGTCGTCGTCGTCGTCGTCGTCGTCGTCGTCGTCGTCGTTCGTCCCGGAGATCCTGGCGGCGCATTTTTCACACAGGGCGATCTCGCCTCATTCTGGGTTCCGGGGCCCTAACTGAATCGATCTGGCTTGAACACATGACGCAGAAAAGTTGGGTCTATGGCTCTGATCGTAAGTCCTCGCGACGTTGCTTTTTTGGTCGCGATGTCGGATCTCAGGGTCGTCGTCCCCTCCCCCCTTCCACCTCCATCCCGCCTTCCTCCTTCGTCTCCTAGTGCCTTCTCCTCCTACCTCCTTCTCCCTCCAGCTCCTTCTCTTTCATCCTCCCCATGGTCCCCCTTCTTCTTCTTCCTCCTCCTCCTCCTCCTTCTCCTCGTCTCTCCTTCCGTTTCCTCCTCCTCCTCCTCCTCCTCAAACTCAAACTCATCCTTTGCCGTCCCCCCCGCATCCACAGCCTTGTCCTCCTCCGTTATACTCCTCACCCCCTCAGTTTCCTCATTCTCCTCCATTTCCTCCGCTTCCTCCTCCTCCTCCTCTTTCTGCTTCTCCGCCTCCGTCCTCCTCCGTCCTCCTCTCGAGAGGGCAGTGGGAAGCCGTCGACTCCGTCATTTTGGAGAGGTCTTCTGGAGGTTCTCGTCGCCATGGCCGTGCGTGGCTGCGGCGACGACCACCACCACCACCACCACCACCACCACCACCACCACCACCACCACCACCACCACCACCACCACCACCACCACCACCACCACCACCACCACCACCACCACCACGACCACCACGACCACCACGACCACCACGACCACCACGACCACCACGACCACCACGACCACCACGACCACCACGACCACCACGACCACCACGACCACCACGACCACCACGACCACCAACCGCAGCAGCACCACCCCACCACCCGAAAACCACCACCACCACCACACCACACCACCACCACCACCACCAACCACCACCAACCACCACCACCACCACCACCACCACCACCACCACCACCACCACCACCACCACCACCACCACCACCACCACCACCACCACCACCACCACCACCACGGCCACGACCACGACCACGACCACGACCATGACCACGACCACGACCACGACCACGTCGTCGTTGGTGACGTTTCTGGGCGGTTGCCGTTTTTTTGATTGTTTGGTTTTCTGTTTTATGTGTTTAGTTTTTTTTTGGTTTGCTTGTACACTGTATGTAATTTTTGGAGGTTCTCGCCGCCACGGCTGGGTGCGGCTCAGAACACGAGCCCCGGGCAGGGGCCCGGAAGCGGTCCCGGGACCGGCTCTGAGGGAATCTTGGATGGGGTGGGGGTAGGGGGGTGGCCTTCCGAGGAGGCCACCCCTCCCCTCCTCCTCCTCCTCCTCCTTCTCCTTCTTCTCCTCTTCCTCCTCCTTCTTCTCCTTCTCCTCCTTCCCCCCCCCTCCCTTTTTTGCAGGAGCAGGGGGGAGCAAGCAACACCTTCCTCCACCTTCCTACTTCTGTCCTCCTCCTCCTTCCCCTCCTCTCCTCCTCCTCCTCCTCCTCCTCCTCCCCTCCTCCTCCTCCTCCTCCTCCTCCTCCTCCTCCTCCTCTCCTCCATCCTCCTCCTCCTCCTCCTCCTCCTCCTCCTCCTCTCTCCTCCTCCCCTCCTCTCCCCCTCCCCCTCCCCCTCCTTCCCGCCTCCTCCCTCCTCCTCCTCCTCCTCCTCCTCCCGCTCCTCCTCCTCCTCCCCTCCTCCTCCGCCTCCGCCTCCTCCTCCTCCTCCTCCTCCTCCTCCTCCTCTCCTCCTCCTCTCCTCCTCCTCCTCCTCCTCCTCCGCCTCCTCCTCCTCTCCTCCATCCTCTCCCTCCTCCTCCTGCTCCTCCGCATCCTTCCGCCTCCCCTCCTCTCCCTCCTCTCCTCCTCCTCCTCCTCCTCCTCCTCCCTTCTCCCTCCTCCTCCTTCTCCCGCTCGCTGGCGACAATCTGCACGCAGTTTCGCCTCGTTCCGGGCCGACTGCTGTGCCTTAAGCAGAAAAGAAAAAAAAAAAAAAAAAAACAAATAAAAAAAGAAAAAAAAAAAACAAAAAAAAAAGGGGGTCTTCGCAGGGGCCCCGCTGGTGCCGCTTCTCCCTTACACGGCTGTGCTCCAGCCCTTGGAGCTGTTTTCTTCCTCCTCGGTTGTCGTCGCCGTCGTCGTGGTCTTTGCTGTCGCTGCCGCTGTCGTTGTCGTTGTCGTCGTCGTCGTCGTCGTCGTCGTCGTCGTCGTCGTCGTCGTCGTCGTCGTCGTCGGCGTCGTCGTCGGCGTTCTTCCTCGGTCCGCCGCGGGGTCTTCGCTGGACGGCCCCCGCGAAGACCGGCCAAGAGGTGGGGAGGGAGCCCAATCCGCTCGAGAGCGGTCCCCGGACCCCATCGGAGTCCAAGCGCACCAACTTTGTCGAGCCGCGCCCAAGCCGTGGCGACGAGAAGCCCCCGGGAGGTCCAGGAAGGACGAGGAAGGCCCACCTCCCGCCCTCTCTGCTGGCCGGAGCCAGTAATTACTGGGCCACCTCAGGCCTCCACCTGGATCAGCGCGGGGGTTGCTACTGGGACAGGCAAGTGTTCGCTGGATGCCAGGGTGGGCGATTCCTGGCCATTCTGGGGCATACAGGTGTTACGACTGCCCAGATTACTTCGGGGGTTGACGATCCAGGCTGAGTGGGCGCAGCCCACTTAGCGGAGTTCTCCAAACCCCTACGCATTCCACTTGCGGCATGTGTAACCCACCCATAAGCCAGGGTATGCCAGATAGAACCCAGCTTAGCATCCACTGATTACCCCCCTGTCTCAGGGGCAACGATCGGAGGGGACTGGCATAAGGGGCGACACGTGGAATTGAGGATACATCGCCGATAGATCGGCGGTAGGCCCCCGATAATGAATCCGCACGCTCTTGGGCAGGTTGCGGCTATCGGGCCCCTATCGGCGACCAATGGGCGAATGGGGGTCGATGCATCCCTCCTATGCCTATCGTTGCCCCTGACTTCCCCCTCAGGACTCACCGCGACGATCCCAGTAGCCAGGAAACACTTCCCCATACCCCCGACGGATTCCTTTCACAGTGTCGACCCCCAGAGGTCTCGATCAGGGCTGGACCTGAACGGTGTTTTTCGTTCCGTTCTCCGATTTCTCGACTTGTTCGCCTGTTCTCCTGGGTCTCTCTGCCACAACGAAAAAACAAAGCGAAGCCCGACATCCAGCAAAACAACGTTTGGGTGCAGCCCTGGTCTCGACCCTTTACCCAGGACGTGTTTTTCAATCCGGAACATGTTTTCTGTTTGACGGTCCCGGGGCCCGGAGAGAGGGCCGCCAGAGGCCAAACAAAATAATAGAGAACATCAGTCTGTCACAAGGCCTCACTTCGTCTGGGGGTCGGCGGGATGGCATGAGCCTCTTTAATCCAGTCGGACCTACGCGAGAATAACATCCTTTCTCCAGTTACACCATCTACATATCTGTGGGATTCCATAATGTACTTACGTAATGAAATTTTGCGGTGTGGGTTTGTTGTGCAGTTCAGTGCAAGGACGGGCCGGGTACACCATATGACGTATGTGCATGTGATGCTATGCCCTGACGTTACGTGTGGGGCCGCGAGGGACCGCTCCTGAACAACGGTCGCCGCAGCTCTTCGAGTTGCGTGGTGTCCTCACACGCCTACGGATTGGGGACACAGCTTGGTTCTACCCCCTAACATCCTTCAAGAAGACCCTCCGTCGGCCAAGACAAGCAGAGCATCCAAGGGTACCCTCCCCAGGATGCACAAGAACATCCAACAACCATGAAGAACCTCAGGATATTCTCCCCGAGCCGACCTCGATCTTAGACCTTGGTCCGACCGTAAAGAAAAGCCGTTCGTCGTGCTTTCTTCACGACGCGAGGGGGTCTGGGTCAGCCCCCCCAGCCGGCTCCAGCCCCCTGGTTCCTCTATAGAGACCTGGGTCGGCGGATCGCACTGCATCGCCGATACGTCGCCGATGCATCGGCGATGCCTCGGCGACGTACCGGCGAGGCACCGACGGCGTCGACGTGGAGGAAATCGGGCTGTCGGCCTCTGCCGGCGTGCGGCCGTCGGTCGGCCGCAACTCTCGGCGAGGCGCAGCCGCTGGAAGGCACCCCGGGGAGAAGGAGGAGGAGGATCCGTGCAAACCCAAGACTCATCACCGATGTTGGAATACACCCTCCCTCCAAGCTCCCTTTTTAAAAGCCCCATACAAGGGTTCATTTTCATTGAGGGAAGTGCCCCGTTGGGGGACAACCGTGTGAAAATCCTGAAGCGTTCCAAAGCACCCTTCTCAGGACTTGAACGCCACTAATCAACCTGACTGTTGCGTCTTGCCGATCCTGAGTCGTGCCAAACACAATTTCTGGGACCTCAGCAAAGCGAATCAGCGTTACTGTTGCGGCCTGAAAGCCTGGAATCATTCCAAAACGCCATCTCTCGTACATTAACCACGAGAATCAATGAGCATCTCGCGAATTTTTGAAACGGAGGTGCGCGGCGCTACGGCGAGAGCCATATTGTGAAACAGAACCAGCCCTCAATCCGTGAAGCTCTTGCAACGTTTTAGAACGAATGCACGCGGTGCTAAGGCGAAGGCCACATTTTGAAAACCACCCACCCTCATTCCGCGAAGCCCTTGCAACATGTTAAACCGAATTTGCACGGCACTAAGGCGAACCATATTTTGAAAACCACCAGCCCTCAATCCGCGAAGCTCTTGCGTACTTGTTGAAACAAATGCGCGCGGCACTTAAGCGAAGGCCACATTGAACAAAAACACCCACCCTCAATCCATGACGCTCTTACATTTTTTTTGAAACGAAGCAGCGCGGCGCTAAGGCGAGAGCTACATTTTGAAAACCACGCGGCCTCAATCCATGAAGCCCTTGCGAAATTTTGAAACGAATGCGCGCGGCGCTCAAGCGAAGGCCACATTTTGAAATTCACCCGCCATCATTCCGTGAAGCTCTTGCGTATTTCTACACGAATTTGCGCGGCGATAAGGCGAAAGCGACATTTTGGAAGCGACCCGCCCTCCATCGGTAAGACTGATACCAATGTTAAAACTTCAGGCCCATACGTACATGGTAACGAAATCTCGA